ATAGCGGAGCCGGGCAATCCCCGAGGACAAGTCTCCTCGGCTGGTCCCACTATCCTGAGGTTAGCTTCAAGGGGTTGGAAATTCAAGTAAAGAAAAGGCACGGGAAAGGGGAACTTATGAAATCGACAAACCCCGGCTCTGGCCACATCGGAGGATGTCCCAGCACCGGATACATGAAGTCGAGGACAATGCTGGCGGTGTCCTTCGAAGGCTCCATCGCCTCCTTGAGCCGTTGCGCCACTTCAGTGGGTGAGCGCTTCGTCAGCAAGCGCCATCCCTTCAAGCGACGCCTCGGGCGCCATCAGGTATAGGGGGAGCGTGTGGCTCATCAGCAGCGCCACCCTCCACATGTGGTAGGCGCCGATGATCCCCGACCCCTTCACGCCCCTGTCCTTCAGAATTTGGAGGGTGGCAAGGTGGTCCTTGATCCTCTTCTTATCTTTGTTCGGGACACCCCACCTCCATGACCCCAGAGCCTGTTCGATGAGGCGCCCGGTGTACACCGGCAAGGGGGAGGTCACGTCGTCCTTGAGGTAGAACCACTCCGAGTGCCGCCCCTTGTTGGAGGTCGACAAGCGCATCAACGGGTAGTCGATCGCCCGGGTGTTGCGCAGATGAATGCTGGCACAACCTATCGATGTGCTCAGCTCCTGCTTCCCGACCCGCTTCTTCGACAGACTGACGGTGAAGAAGTGCCGCCACAGATCGAAGTGGGGACTAATCCCTAGGAACCCCTCGCACAGGGCGACGAACGCCGCAATATGCTGGATCCCATTGGGATTAAGATGTTGCAACTCCACCTGGTAGTAATCCAACAGCCCCCGAAGAAACGTATAGGCAGGAACGGTGAATCCCCGCTCATGGAAGAGAGCAAAGGACACGACATATCCCTCAGGCGGCGACGGCTCATCCTCATCACTAGGCAGCAGCCACTCCGTGAAGGCAGACAACGGGCGAAGGAGGCCACGGTGGACAAGGCCCTCCAGGCGCTGAGAGGTAATGTTGGATCTACACCATGGCTCCATTGAAACGGCGGGAAAGGGGGTGGATGCAAGCTCGACGGCGGCTGCGATGCGGATGCAAGCTTGATGGTGGCGGCAGTACTGGTGCGGGAGGCTCTGGCGATTGGCGGCGGAGGTTGGCGATGCGAAGGCAAAAAGGTGGAGTATGGAACCCTGGGGGCGAACCCCGTGGTTTTATAGGGGTAACGGATGCGAGAAGCGCAACCGTCCGCCTCGATCTCCGAGCCCGCCACGACATGCCGCCACATCACGTCGCGGGATACGCGCCCGCAATCCCTATCCTTTCCCACCAAAATCGCCCTGGACAGTTCGCCTTCCCGAGCGGATCGTACTCTTTCCCCGTGGAGGGGATACGGGCCAGAAAATCTCTTCTCCAGCCCGTATGGGCCCAGAAAGCCCAAGGGTCGGCCCGACAGTCTCGATGGCCATCCCAAAGAGGGACAGGCCCACGAGCGACTAAGACCCAGGTACGCGAACATCAGTAGGGCCTCAACCATGGTCGAGCCCCAGCCGGTGACCCTGGACGAAATCCCCGCGAACAGGATATCAGGGTCCCCTTAAAGCTATCCAGTTGACAGAAACTGAGTCTCATAGCCTTACCCACAAAGGGTCCGAGAAACACCCCGGGCGATTCTGCCCGAATCACCCGGGGGCTCGGAGGCTACACCCATCGGGTGCGCTCGCGCGCACCCTCTGGCGAACCGAAACACCCCCCGGGCGATTCTGCCCGAATCACCCGGAGCCTCGGGGGCTACACCCATCGGGTGCACTCGCGCGCACCCTCTAGAGAACCGAAACACCCCCCGGGCGATTCTGCCCGAATCACCCGGGGGCTCGGGGGCTACACCCATCGGGTGCGCTCGCGTGCACCCTCTGACGAACCAAAACACCCCTAGGCTATTCTGTCCGAATCGCCCGGGGGCTCGGGGGCTACTATCGGGGACCTAATACCAGGGTACCTAATGAAGTGGAACTAATGACCATCGAACATTGACACTTCTGATCAGACGAGAACGCTACTGCGTTTCTTGCCCAAATGATGGAAGACTGGTTCCGCCTCGCCCGACCTCCGAGGGCTGGCTCCACCTCGCCCGACCACCGAGGGCTAGGCTCCTCCTCACCCGACCCCCGAGGGCCGGCTCCGTCTCGCCCGACATCCGGGGTAGGCTCCACCACGCCCGACGTCCGAGGGCTGGCTCCACCTCGCCTGACGTTCGAGGGCAATTTCCGCCTCGCCCGATGGTCGAGGACAGGCTCCGCCTTGCCCGACGGCCGAGGGTAGACTCCGCCTCGCCCGACGAGTACACCCTGCGCCTTCATAATGATGAGCACAGGGTACGACATGACATTCAAGTCAAACGCAGCACCAAGAACCATGCCCTGCACCGCTGCAGGAAAGTACCGTCAGGGTATGACAGGACAGGCGCTTTAGGCCATTCCGGGTGTGGCAGAGTCCGAATAGTGTTGTAGGCACCGCCTTCAGCCCTCGGACGTGAAACCTGACATAGACATACGACAACCACTACGGTCCAAGAAGAGACCCGCGCCCTCTACAGTGACGAACGTACAGTCACCGCGCCGTCCGCTCCCCACAGGGCTACAGGTCAACACCCTTGTCCGACACGCCGCCCAGAGGGGCAGGACGGGACGTGACCACTTGCTGATCCGACAAGGGCATGGCGTTGTCAGCACACAGGCGTCCGGCGAACGTGTCAATCCCTGACACCGTCTGGCCGTGTCAGCGAGGTTGGCTCAGCGGAAAAGGAGTGCCCAACACCTTCGGAGGGGCTTCTTGGCCTCTGGTTTTTCTCCTTTCTCCAACATGTAACCCCTGCTCCCCCTTGGTCTATAAAAGGGAGGGCAGGGCACCCCGCTAAAGGGACGAAAAAAAACTCACAGAGAGATCGATCGACTCTTGAGGGATAAGTTCAACACACACGACACTTCACACACAGCTGAGCAGCGACCAAGCTCTTGGCGACCTTTTCGACCATTCCATCAGAGACTTGGGACCCGTCCCTCTCTCGACCGTTTGTACCCCCTACTATGAACCTTTTTGGTACTAATAACACGAGCAGCACCAGACTGGATGTAGGGACGTTCGGCCCGAACTAGTATAAACCTCGTGTCCTTTAGTGCACCATCCGGGCCTAACGCGCATCAATTATAAATTTACTAGCCGGTGTTTATTCGAAACACCGACATGGGCTAAACGGCCGTTTAGGCGAACAGTATGTAGCTGCAACTGTAGCCACAGCCCAAAGTAGCTGAAGCGATCAGAGCATAACGAGCAGCAAGGCGGTGTGGCTGGCGCGCGGTGAGTGGCAACAACACCAGTGTGGTGGTGCCGGTACAAGCGTAGTGTAGCAGCACGGCGGTGTAGGCGTGGTGGTGCTGGCATGGTTATGGTGTGGGCTTAGGGCTATAAAGATTGGAATACATTTGGATCTCTTGTTGGGTCACCTCGTGACGTGCACAAGCAAGAGCCCGTCGGCTGGTCAGGTTTGGGCTGATTTTGGATGATTCAATAGTATTCTGTGAGAGAGAATAAGCTGAAACAGGCTAGAACAGCGAAGCTGGGACCTTACCAGCCGAACGGGCTGCAAGTTTTTCTTTACCGAAGCAAGTGAGTCGAATTGGCTCTCCACCACCAGCAAGGCAAGGCTTGCCTATGAGGTAAGATTGGCTTTAGAACCAAACGTTCCCTTGATTGGTAGCTGAGGGCATGCTTGGTTTCTGGTTGGGCTAGCCTTTCCTTGCCTCACCTCCTGGCAAGAGCATCGAGAAGTTCCCATCCAGGAGAGCCAGATTGGCTTTCTTACAAGGGCAAGGCAAATCTTGTCCAAACAAGTCCTGAGGTATTCTGCTAGGCATCCAAATAAATAAGCTGGCTTCATATCCTCGCCTAGCGAGGCAACACAGTTGTTAGCTAAAGAACCAAGCAGCCCCTCACTCTGCTTAGGTTTTCTTAGCTCGGCTCGGTTCATTTTCATTTTTGAGTGAGGTGAGCAAGCATTTTACAGCATGTTCGGTTGGCTGATTCGTTTCGTTGCTGGTTCGTGAAGAAGTACTGCTGGCTAGTTTGTGTGAGAGAAAAATATTGTTCCGGCTGGAAATTTACGATCGTTTACGACAAGCCACAGCCAAACGAACAGGCTGTTAGTAGTTGATAGTTGATTAATTTAATGAGCCAAATCACAAGCTAAGTGGTTCATTGATCACCCTAAATAAGCAACAATTAAGCTTGATGCATGTCTGGGGTTGAAATCTAGAACCAATGTATGATGTGCATTGTACTTTTTGCCTAATGTTTGCATGGAACTAGTTAGTAGTTGTTGTTGTATGTATTGGTTGTATTTGCATCTCTTAACTTGGTGAGTTCTCCGCACATTGCCGCGGGATTTAAGAAAACTTTATCATGGAAAGAAGCAAAATATTTTAGATGAAGGATTATGGAGAGCATTTGGAGTTTGTTGAGAGCATGATATGGTGCATTATTTTGCAAATGAAGGAAGCTCGTCATGGGGTTAATGACAACTTTAAGGAAACTACACGATAGAACTGGTACTCCCAGAAACGAAATGGACAAATATGGCTTAAGCTGGAATTTCTAAACAATATTTTAGAGAAATGGGCTTGAGGAGGGGACTCTCGAGTCTCGACCTTCCCCATCGGCACTGTTAAGTCTTTTTTTTTTTTTTTTGAGAGAACACCGTTAAGTCTGGTGAAGTGGGGGTTTGGGCAACACGCAACGAGGTGCAGCCATCTGGCAACGGCATTTTGGGACGGCCATCGCTGTTGTAAGTAACAGGGCACAGAGAGAAACAGCCCATCGGCACGTCCATTTATTTATTTCCAATGGTAAAACATCCATCGTATATCCGTATTCGTATTTGCTAAAAATGTCCAATCAATAGGCAATTCCGGTAATCGCCACAGGAAAATTGCTCTCGCCGAGTCACATCACAGTACAGCGGATCAGTTCATGTCCACCTCGGTGTCGTTGAGTCTACACCCCTTCGTCTCGAAGGGGAAGAACGAGACAGCCAGGCCGGAGAGGAAGATTACAAGCTCGAATAGGAGGATCGCCGTCGTCTGCTGGCAGCTGTGCACCAGGGCGACCGCAACGAGCGGGCAGAGGATGCCGCCGATCCTGCCCACTGAGCTCGCGATGCCAATGCCCGTCGTCCTCACCGCGGTCGGGTAAATCTGAACAATAGACCAAAGGCAAACAATAAAAGAAATGTTAGCACAGACACCGTTTGGTTTATCTGCCAGTATTACCAAGAGAGGTGGAGAATGAACTGATGTGTGCACAAGAACCTCACTGACCTCTGGAGCATATATGTATACAATGGTGAAGCTGGCCGATATACAGAGCCGGGCACCAAACAGGGAGATTCTGGTTAGTATATCTGTCCGGGAGAACACTAGTGGGAATAAGAAAACGCAGCTAGTGAAGAGCATCGACGCCATTGAAAGCTTCCGACCAAATCTATCCACGATCATGGCCGATAGAAATGACCCTGGGATCTCTGTTTCAAGAAAACATGGCAGCATTGGTCAGCAACTCATCACATGCTTTTGAAGGTTGTTATGATAATCATATTATGCACACCAGTAACCAACCTGCAAAACTAGATATGAAAACATTCTTATATAGGCTTGCATTAGTTGAATTAACTGATTCAACATCCTCTTTGGCGCATATCCTATTTCCAGTACTGAGCTCTGATGTCAGAAGAACAATGCCATAATAGGCAAACGCATTTCCAAAGAAGGCCATCCACAGAAGCAGGGTTGCTCTGATCAGTTTTGGTGCGAGTAGTTTGCCAACGGACTTAATACCTCCGAAATCAGAACCTTGATCTTCACTTAGGTTGTCACTTTCTTCGGCACCAGCCAGAAGTGTCGTGGACTCTGAAGATCCTGAAACTTCATCTAGCTCAATATTTTTGTCAGAAACAAGCCTACCAGAAGGTAGTTGTACATTGTTTAGTCTTGCCATTTTCTCCAATACATCCACAGCCTCGGCAGTTCGGCCTTTCATGCAAAGGAACCTTGGTGACTCTGGCGTAATGGCATAAAATAGCAGCAGGAGAAAAGATGGAATAGCTGATAATGCTAACAACCACCTCCAGCCAAACTTGGGCATAACTGTCTGCCATTAATATGGTGAAAAAAATTAGGCATGGAAAAATATGGTGGAATCTTCTAGTCTAATGCGTCTGCATTTTTACTGCAAGAATATGTTTCTCTCTGATTATGAGCTGCCTATCCAGACCTCGATAGTATATTATAGATCTTTGTATCAAAGTAACCAAAATAAAGTTACAGGTGTTGCAGAAGAAAATATCTGCAGATATACATAATACTTAACAGATCTGGTAAACAAAAACGCAAACTAATTGCCACAGAACTTCTGATTCTATGCCCTAACAAGCGAAGTTCTTTTCACACGTGATGTTCCAGATTGCTAGTCTCCCTGAAATTTATTCTTATTCCATGTTTTTTTCTTTCAATAGATCAAGTAACAGAACCATTAATACTACAGGTTAATTTGTTTGTATGGTAATCAGCAACGCTATTAGCAGGTTAACTGTTAGTGAGTGGTTCATAAATTTCTGAATAAACTGGAGCATACAATGAGATTGAGAATCAGTTGCATCAGGATATGATTTATCATGTGTAAAGTTCACTGCTAATTTTGATGCTGGGCACTATTATAAAATATGAATGACGTTATCAGTCTCAAAATATTCAGGAGAAAATATTATACCCATGCAAGAGATGCCTCCAAGATTGTCCCAACAGTCCAAAATGCAGAAAGTACCACCATCCAAGTTCCTCTAGTTGGAGCAGGAACAAATTCCAAGAACCAAGATCCCAGAACAGGTCCTCCTCCCAAACCAATACCAACTAAGAATCTCAGGGAAATTAATGACACATAGTTCGGAGCAAAAGCACTCAAGAATCCAGCTCCACTTGTCACAATGGCAGTAAAGAGAAAGCCTCTCCTATAGAGGCCAATAAAACAGAGTGTAAGGACTTGTATGATGTAAACAAGCAATTCATTCATGACCATAAATTTTGAGGACGATATGAAGCTTGTTCTCAGAAATAACACGTAATGAACTTGGCTGCTGATTAATTCATGATCATTCATTTGAACAACTATTTCAGAGTAGCTTTGTGGGGCTAAAAAAAGAAATCATAGAGATGCTCTTGGCTATACATGGTGTATTCTGATCCCAAACGTGACGCTGTTGCTAATCAGCTATAACTAGGAAGTAGGAAGAAGCAACTGTCCAATAGAAACTACATCAGGAACAACCGAACAAGTTTTGGTAACTCCATGTTAAACATCAGCAAGAACAAAGGAAATGGACATCCAGAATTTTGTGCAAAAAGGTACATGACATAAGTAAAAGATTGGACCTGCCTCCTTCCATAGTTGTCTGAAACCACACCCCACGAGTAAGCGCCAATCAGCATTCCAACAAAAACAACACTTGTAATGATGCTTTCCTGGTGAGAAGTAAGCTTCCATTCTAGCTGTACTGATGGACCAACAAATGATAGCAGCATCATTTCCATCGCTTCGGCAATCAAGCCAATCCCAGCATATGAAAGAATCAATATCTGGAACCTCCCAAAACCTGATGACAAGAGTGCGTCATCCACGGTATACGAAGCTGATTGCCCCTCCTCCATCTGCAAAGTAATGATCTCAGTTGTCAACTTGTCATCTATAAATCACAGTAAATCTAATCTACTCATATAACCAAACCAGCCAGGGTTGAAACGAGTTAGTTCCTTCTATTCCCTTTTTATTTGTGGGTTTAAACAACACTGATTTACTGGTACACACAAGTAAACACTGTTTGCCTAAAAGGTCATTTATCCCATTTAGACACCATTTAAATGCTACAGGGTGATACACCCTTTCCGTTTAATCGGCCATTTATCGCATTTAACCAGCCGTTTCTCTTGATTAAATGGCCATTTAGTCCAAATAATGGTTAAACGGTAGGTTATCGATTGTATTGCATTTAGTGTTTAGGAAAACACTGCAGGTGAACACACGCATCGTATAACAAGAGGTAATCAAAGACCCCGAGAGCTGAGAGCATTCTAAAGCATTTGCATCGCTGTAGAAGAGTACAAGCCAGCTTAAGCATTCGATGGAAAGACAACAAGAAGGCACGTCACAGTCTCACGTTATCTGCTTTGTTTTCCCTCGCTTTGCACATTCCTAAAGCATAGGATTAACTGGATAGCAAGTAACCGACAAGAACTGAAACAGCTGAATCTGAAGAGAGGAGGCTCACGAGATCCTCACCATTTCAAGAGACGTCTGGCGGAATCAGAAGCCTATCTCGTACCGATCCTCAGCGAGCTGGGAGCATCAGAGCCAACCCTAGCCTCCGTCCGGGCCCGCCTGGTTAAATCTTCCCTGGCCCAACTGGTTCCACGCCCTGAGAAATCCAGACAATGAGCACGCATACGGAATCAGTCCCAGGAACACGCGACAAGCAACGGGGTCTGTCGAGCCTAGCAAGTGGCGACATGAGGGAGAAGCGAACCGGAATGCGTTTCTTGGATCTGCGACAGGCGGCGAATCCCGCAGGTGCAGGAGGGGATTCGCGGTCTATGGAGGAACGACGGACCCCGAATCCGGGCGTCTGCAACACTGCTGCTGCCTGGAGATCTCTGCGCTTTTTCGTTTGGGCGAGATTTGGCTCCGTAGTCCGTACCGGATGGGTTGAGGAAGGAGATGCGAAACGGAGCCCGCGCTTTGACCGGGAAGACCATCATTGGTCAAAGCCGAGGCTGGCACACGTCCGGCGTCTCCAACGGGACGGGGTGGCCTGTTCCTTCCGTGCATTTCACCCACCGACGTGGAGACGAGACAAAAGCCGAAAGAAAACGTCGGTCTGTAGCTGGTGTCGCTCAGAAGAAACGAGGTGGTGAGAGCATCTCCAGCCATCAATATCTCTTACCAAACTAGAAAATTTCACCATCAATATCTCCTCTCACATGTAGATCAATTTATCATTCAAGCCATTTCTTTTATTTTTTTCTCTTCCCACCCGTTCATTCCCTCCGACTCTTCGAGGGCCGCATTGGCACATCCTCTTCCGCCGCCGCTCCTCTTCCTCCGCCGCCCTCCTCCGTCGCCACTCTCCCTTCCTATGCTCCTCCTCCCATACTGCTCCTCCTCGGCCACCTCTTCTCCGCCACCGTGACCTTGTTTCTTGGGCATGTCGCCAAGCCGCGCCGCATCCTTTTCTGTCGTCGCTCCTCTTCCTCCGCTGCCCTCCGTCGCCCTCCTACTCCGAGACCGCCGGTGACTTGGAAGACGCCAGGTGTGTGATACTGCTTGTATTGGGGGCGAGTCTAGGTCCCACGTCTTTGAGGGGTCAGGGGCTAGATTTTGAACAGTTGAGAAAAAAATTTGCCCATAAGGGGTTAGATTGGGGTACTGCTGGCTCTCGAATCCCTCATATTACAGTTTTTTGTTATTGGGGTGGAAATTGGGGGGACTGTTGAAGATGCTCTAAGGGAAGATCAGAAGGGGGTAACACACTAACACTTGAGAGAGCGCACCAAACTTTCCAGTATAGATAATAAGTTTCTACTTATTTATTGGTTACTAAAATTATCTCGCCAAGTGGAAAATGAAATCTAGTGACTTGCTAGAGCAAGAGGAGGCCAATAAGGAACGGGTTGTGAAGGACGGCGATGCGGGAGAAAAGGGTGTTGTAAGGAAAATAGATCCTAGGCCTATTTACTTTGGATTTTGGTGTTTGATGACTAACACGACTAAGTTGGACTAATGAATTTGCAAGTGATTGTTTTGTAGTTCAATAGGATGAGAGACGTGACTTGGACGAAGGTGACGTGATGATCCGATGATCAACACCATAAGCAAGATCCTAGGAGCACAAGAGAAGACCCAAGATATTAAGCAAAGTCCAAGCACGAAGATAGGAACCAAGCCGTACGCAAGATCGCGAAGAAACGAGCTTACAGAGGTGACCGGACGCTGGCGTAGAGCGATCGGACGCTCCGATCAAGAGGCTCGACAACAGAAGGCGTCAGCAGCAGCGATCGGACGCTAGTGGCAAATCAACCGGACGTAGGACTGCAGCGTCCGATCAAGTACAGAAAGGTCCCAGAGCGGCGAAATTGCGACCGGACACGTCCGGTGGCATGTGACCGGATGCTGGCAGCGTTCGATCAGTTGATCGCGGGTCAAACGGTCGAGATGACCAGACGCGTCCGGTCAGGACGTGATTAGCGTCCGGTCAGTAGCAGAAAAGCGGGATTTCATCCCCAACGGCTACTTTCTCAATAGGGCTTATAAATACAACCCCCAATCGGCCAAATGATGTGCGTGGAGCTGAGAAAACATAACAAGGGTGTTGATACACCATTTTAGTGATCTCCACTTGCATAGTGCTTAGTGTTTTCATTAGGTGATTAACGTAGGTGCTTTGCGAAGTGCTTAGATTGATTAGACCACCGCTTATGTGCTTGCTCTAGGTTTAGGCCTAGTGTTTAGTGAGGTTTGCATACCTCTTACCACTCGGTGCTTGCGCGCACCATTGGTGTGGCCGCCACCGTGTACTGGAGGGAACAAGGCCCGCGACGTTTCGGCTGGAAGCTTGATAGTGAAGACGGCGGGGAGCATCCGGGAGAGGCTTGCCGGAAGGCACGTCGGAGACCCACTTGCGCGTGGGGAAGGCCCGAGGCTATCCACGGAGTTACCCGACCGGGAGCTTGGCCCTTGCGAGGGATTCCTTGCGAGGGGCTCTAACGAGGACTAGGAGAAGCTTGCGCGCTTCTTGATACCTTGGTAAAAATACCGGAGTCATCGATGGAAGTTTGCATATCTCTACCTTGCTCTTTATCTTCCGCATTTACATTGATTGTGTTACTCCTTTTGCGGTAGAGATAGCAACACATTAGCAAAATCGTAGTTGCACATTTAGATAGTTTATCTTTTGCATATGTTTTGCTAAGGTTAGAAAAAGAGGTTATAATTTAGAGTTAGATTTTTAAGTTGCCTAATTCACCCCCCCTCTTAGGCGTCACGGTCCCTTTCAGGTGTGTTTTGGTTGCTCAAATGAGATTTACAGGGAGCGGAGACATGTTGAGTGGATGCTGTGATAAAAAAGAATGGTAATGCTTTGAACCGGGCGTCTGTCCGTCCGGACGCTCCGTTGTTGGGCCACGACGCCAGCCCAACAATCTACACTCCTTCGTTTCTCAAAAAAACTGCTCATCCTCTTATTCCTATCCACTCGTTCATCTTCCTATCGCTCTTATCCGCTCGCATGCCGCGTCCGAGCACATGGCCGCTGCCCTTCCGAGGCGCAGCGCGCGGTCGCCTCTGCGGCGCACCGCTCGGATGCTGGCCTTGCCAAGCATGGCGCGTTGCTGCCTTCTGCAAGTCGTGCGCCCGTGGCCTCCCTACCGCTCGTGCGGTCGATGCCTCCGTTCCGCGACGTGCAGCCACTACCGCCAGCCCGCCGCCTACAAGCGTCGCCGGGCCATTACCTCCAGTGAACGCCACACACCGACAAGCCTCCATTCTACCGAGCAGTAAGGAGATGTTGCGTTGAAAACGCATGTTGTAAGAGTATGTTTTCTATGTTTCAAAGATATGTTGCAAGTGTTTCATATGGTTGTTGCAAAAATAGATCTTGATGTTGCACATGTTGCAATGGTTCTATACGTATGTTGGAAGCGTCTGTTCCAAATGGCCCATCTGCTTCTTTAGACGTATATTGCAAATGTGCTTATTTGGATGTTGCATATGTTTCATACATATGTTGCAAGAGAATGTTCGAAATGTTTCAGCTGTTTTCGTCTTATATTGCAATAAGTGTTTTCATATTGCAAGTTGCAAGTGTTTTATCTGGATGTTACATATATGCCATACACATGGTGCAAGTGTATGTTCCAAATGTTTTATCTGCTTCAGACTTATGTTGCATCAAGTGTTTCATGTTGCAAGTGTTTCTTGTTTCAGTGATATGTTTAGAGAGTCATGGGGGCATGGCCTGGGCGCCAAGGGAAGGGGCACGGCAAGCGGGGGGACAGGCGGATGGGGCGCACGGCGCGTATGGGGTCCTACAGACGGGGCGTGTTCGTCCTCGTCCTGGCTTCCGGGTCCCGCCTGTGCGGAGAGAGAGGAGGGGGTCAGGGCCGCAGGGGAAGGAGCGGCAGGCGCGGGGCGGGATACACGTGCGTAGCGGGACGAGGCAGATGGAGAAGGACTGCAGCGATATAGTGGGAGTGCGGCGTGTTTCTGCTAGGCCATTCGGTACTGTCCGATGGAATCGTATCCCATCAGATGACCGAACATTAGCAATTCCCAAAAAAGAAGCGTGTTTGGTTGGTTGTATCTACGGATGAAGTAACTTGTATCTGTGGATGCAATGACCGCGAAGATGTTTAGTTCGTTGTATGAGCGGATACAAAGACTATTCATCTGAGACTAACTTGTGGGTCAGTGTTTTGTGTGCTGCATCTGCCTAGCCAGGCTTCCGAGTGAAGCTTGAAGGCCTTGTTCGGCTTACCCCATATTCGGCTTGTTCGGCTGCTTTTTTCAGCCGGAACAATGTTTTTCTCTCACAACATTTCAGCCAGAACAGTGTTTTTCAGTCAATTTCAGCCAAAATTCAGCAAGCCGAACGGGGCTGAAATGGCCTTCCCTGCGGAACCAGAATGGAACAGTGTATTTGCATGGGTAGAGTGATCATGAACAGTAAAAGCAAAACAAACCAAACACGTTTCTTTCTGCATTTATACGCACGGGTGGAGTCAGAATGGGGAAGAGGCGAGAACCAGACACGCCCAAATAGACCGGCGAAGGAGGAGACGAGGCCGGCAAGCGGCGGTGCGGGAAAAGACGGAACCAGCGAGCGGCAGAGCAAATCTGCTGTGTCGTGCCCAGGTTCACGGATGGGAAAGATAAGCATACGAAGAGAAGGGAGAAAATTCAGAATAAAATTTATATATGGGACTCAACACGATGAGTGGCGCTTATAAATATAGCTAGCAACCGAGTATTCAGGTGAGGACGCCTGCAAAATTTCATCCTGACACATATGGTTTTTATATGGGCTAAATCAGCAATAAATTAATTAGAAGAGAGAAGTTGTATCTTTAAAAAAATATTAGTTGGACACCAATATAATTATATTGGAAACCGTACATAGCACTCCATAAAATTATTCATACTCACAGAATAAATATTTTTTTCAAAAATTTTCAAGCAGATTAAGGACGCTCACAAAAGATATATGTACTATTGTCTCGTTTTTTTTCCTGAAGGATATCTTCTGAATTTGGTAGTTACCGTTTGCATCATTGCATGCATCTATGATTAGAGCCTCTTCGCTTGCTCGTAAACGATCGTAAATTTCCAGTCAAAAACAGTGTTTTTCTCTCACACCAAACCAGCCAGCAATAAATAATCCACGATACGATACGGCCTCCCAAACAGGCTGTAGTTTTCGCATTCTGAAATGCTTCTCCACAACGGCCTATGGGCCTGTTTGGCCTGCACATAAGCTCATCCGGTACTCATCGCGGCCTACCTCTAGCTGGTGACCTTGTTTGGCTATATTTATATCCATCTGAATCCATATGTATTAATTTTTTTACAATCTATTCTAACACACGTGGATTAAGGTAAATAGAAGTGCATCCAAATAAGCCAATAGATTGATGGGCTAAATCCTGAGGTGTGTAACAGAACCGACCAATTATACGAAATTAAGTAAGAAAATCATCCGTCA